GAGAGAGAGAGAGAGAGAGAGAGAGAGAGAGAGAGAGAGAGAGAGAGAGAGCAGGAGCAAAATAGTGGTAGGCATACTAACAGGGAAACAATGAGAGCGGCATGCAATTGGAAGCACATCAGATACCGTGCAGCAGATAGACAAGGACTCCAGTAGGCATGCAGTAAGTGAAAAACAAAAAAGTAGTGTTCAGTACAGTACTCAGAGTCGACCCATAACCACATTCACAGGTCATCGTAACATGGTTGGACGCACAAACTTATGAGATAGACCAAAAGATGGGAAGACTCAGGAAGACACAGAATACATGTGCTCCTGGTGAACTTACCGATATCATCCCACTTGACATTCGGATTGTGATCCATGATCTCATTCATGATTTGCTCTAGAAGCTTCGGCTCAAGATTTCGGAGCCTGTCCGGCAGTTCTCCATCAGGTCCAGCAAGTTGCTCAAGACTACACACACATACAGGACACAGTTGTATTAAATTGGATTCCCACATCAGTCTACTTCCACAAAAAAAAAAAAGAACATTCTTATTTCAGAAACTTCAGATCACTATTGATGCAGAAGCGGAATAAGGCATTAGCTAAGAGAAGGAGCACGTCAAAGAAAGGAAAAGAAGAAAATAAGTTTAATAACAGTTGCAGCATTAGTACAGTGCTACGGTATCTCAAATTGTTCTACTCATGTTTCCATGTTTCCATATGTTTTCACATGGGACGCTGGGCCCGGTTCCCAGCACGTGCTGCTCCCCACGAATAGATTGGAGGCTTGGCGCATTCATTAAAAAAAAAAAAAAAAAAAAAAAAAAAAAAAACAGTGCTACACTGCTACGCACATATTTCTCTGGTTGAGCACTCGAGAACATCAATCCATATGAACGTGACCCAAGAAGATACCCACACTATTGAATGTGCAGCGGGTTGATGAGATTCAAGGCAAGGAGTCCTTCACTAAGTAGAAGAGACCACTGACCAGTACGTTCTGACGGCCTTGCGGTCATCCAACACAGCTCCCTTGACGGCAACCCCTGACGGGAGTTGGTATCAGAGAGGTGGATTCAGACAAACCAAACAACACAAAAATAAGCTAGCTGGTAGAAAGTAAAAGAAAACTATAAGCTGGCTCGTAGAAAAAAAAGGAAAAACTAGAAGCTGGCTGGAAGAAAGTAAAGAAAAACTGGGTTAGGCCGACGCCCGGTCCAGACGGACTGGGGGGGGTCCGTCCGGCAAAACCAGACGAGCCAAAGAACATGCCAGGAGTTCTTTTATTTTTTTTTGAAGATGGGGTTGGACTGCGCTTGCTGAGAGGAGCCTAAATCCGCAGAGAAACTTGTGAAAGGCATGTGTTGG